TTTCTCGTGCCCACAGCAGGTCTGTACAATGCTTCACTCAGTCTACCATCCATGTATGGTAATGAGTTTAGGGGCGCTTAGCAATGCCCCTTTTTTGCAGGTCTGGGCAAGCAGTAAACTGGAGGTTTATAAACCCTCTGGTAGGTTGCCATAGATGGCTGGTGGGTTACATTCAGCGTGGTGGTCAGAAGCTGATTGGGCTGATCCTAAATGGAGGTAGAGGGCAGAGAGAGCTATCAATAAGAAGATGCTAATTCGAGACCCTGGACTGGCAGAACCTACGATGGTGAGAGCATTCCTTGAGTTCCGAAATGGCTCTGCTCATCTAAGCTGCCCCCACCTGTACAGTGAGCGTCTTTGCAAGGGGCAGTTTGCTACTAGTTGGTCTGTCAAAGGGAAGGCATCCTCTGCAGGAATAGTTGTCCCACCCAGCTCAGTTTTAAAGATAAAAGAACCTGAAGAAAGGAACACTTGGGGCCTCCTTGAAGCTGCCCATCAGCAGCAGATGGACAGTGGGCTGAGTAGATTCACCACTCACCAAAGTCAGCCTCCCCCACTGTGCTTAGATCTCTTGTTCTTCTATTTTAATGTCAGTACCTTTAGGTCTGAATTGCACCTATACATATAAAAACATGCAGAATGTTTGTGCAGGTCCATGCCCTCTTCTGTCCTTGTTTTGGCAACACACATCCTCCTTTTTGTAACGTGCCACTGGCCATTCTGCTGATCTGAAAGATCTGGAAAGTCCTTGAGTCAGCCTGGGACCTATATTTTCCTTCTTTGGTTAGTTTGATTGATTGTTGAAAATATTTTACCCTCCACCTTCTGTCTTATGAGACCCTCAGGGCAGCTTACAGTTCAGGGCAATCCAGCAGTGGATGGTGCTGAAGGCAAAAGGAATGGAGAGGAAAAATGCACACGCACAAAAATGTGTATTGTAGCCCAACGTTCTTACTGCTAGCACTCATCTTAGGAGAGTGCTATTGAAATGGAAAAAAAACTGCACCAAAGACCAGAAATCACAAAATGAGCAACGCTTGAGTGGGGTGGGGAGGCAGGGGACAGGATTATGCCCAACAGGGGAGCCAGGCAGGCCAAATTTGCCCCCTCCCCTCCACAAACTGCACCATGCCTGAAGTTCCCTATTTTCATTTCATGAGGACCTCTAGAAATTTGCATTGGCACAGACCTAACCGGTAAGATTTCATCAGCTTTGCCATGGAGAATTCAGTGCCGCCTTACCACAGAGGACAAGCCATTTCGAATCTATACACTTTATTTTAAAATTGGAGAAAGGATTATTAAGCCGAGTAACTGTTAAACTATAAATCATCATCAAGAGCTGGTGGGGAATAGTCATTCTTGATGCAAATACAGAGGGACAGAACTGAAGAATCTTCCTTTGCACAATCAGCTAGCTCTGTTCCAGCATGCACTCCTTTAAGTTCCTGCAGGGCTGATTATTGCAATGAAATTCTGGTTTCGTGAATTGTCTCCATTTTTCCACTGGGGGAAGGACTAGAGTGAAATGTCCAGCTCAGAGGTGTAAAGGCTTGCAACTTTCTCCTGCATGTGTTTATTCAGAAATAGCTCCCAATAAAATCTGTGTGGTTTACTGGCAAATAAATGTACTTAGGGTTACAACCGGCTAGTTTGTGCCTGTGAGGACATGCAGAGCTGTGTGGTAGCATAGAAGAGCCCGGCATGCAGACTGAAGAGCTATGGCAATCATCTTGGTATAACAAGGAAGCCTCACAAAAGTAAGCCATCCTTTCAAGACCAGCAGTGTAGGCATGACAGTTACGTGGCAGCAGTAATTTTCAGTTTACAGGGATGCTGGCGTTATCTTCCCTCCAACCCGCTGTCCACCCCATCTGAATGTCCTTTCCCCTCTGAGCTTAGAGGCAATCTTCAGAACAGTTTGTGGGAAATGAACTTTCCTAGCATCAGGCATATGGGTCTTGGTTATAATGTAAAGGATCCTTGGATGGCTTAGTATTGAATGGCCAAATAAGAAGTATGGGCTTTACAGAAGACCATTTTCAGCTGGAGATGCTGAGAAGTGGCTTGTTGATACAGACCAAAACAGCAGCCAGAACTTTGGAGACTCCTCAGGAGCTTGGCTATGGGGACCGTCATGATGAGTACACTTCACAGGAAGTCAGGACTGGAGAAGTGGGTAGACGACCTAAAGCCCTTTCCTGCTTGCTTTTAACTCTTCTGAATTGCTTCCAGCTGGGGTTTTCCATCCCCACACACATGCGCTCTCTCTCTCTCTCTCAGTCTCTCTCTCATGAGTTTTTAATGCATGGTTCCTACATCCAGATAAGGGCTAGAAGTCTGAAGGAAGGATAATACCACCAATGTTAAGGAGATGATCCTGGTCTCAAGGGAAAAATACAGTTAGATCTCTTGACTTGACTTGACTTCTGTGGCAGGTCAGCTACCAATGGGCATGCTGACCTATCTTTCTGGGGCCTGGGATCTTATCTACCATCTCCTAGTTTGTTCGTGTCAGTTTCATCTAAAATACTGCCCTGATAGGATTTTTCCATGCATGTTGCTTCATTTGCGAAAGTTGAACAACAGTCTTGAGATTTTCCAGAACATCTTGCAGTTGCAGATGACAAGATAAGCTGTGAACCAAACGCACAGCAAGAAATGTACGGTTCAGGCTTAGAAATGCATCGTAAATGCTGCCTGCATTTTTGCAATGTGAAAGGGGTCTAGGAATGTGATGTGAATGTACACTAGTACTGACACTTTTTCTAAGCTGGCTGGCTTCCTTTTTAATATGGGAAGCTCAGAGCTGAGGAAGTGTCGACGTCACAGGGAAGGGGCAATTGTCGCTCACATGCTGGGCTATAGTGGTTCAAAAAACCAGCCCAGTGGATGAGAGCATCACCACTGCCCTTCAGCCATGTTCCAGACTGCAGGTAATGGGGCAATTAAATGAATGACTATTGTCATAAACGCCTCGTGGAGCTGTGTGTTAGATGTGCCTGCCAAAAGCTCAAACCACCTACTTATTTATTTATTTACTTATTTATTTATTTTAAAGGGAGGTGAGCACCTGTGTTGATAACGTCACTATAGTTACCGTGAGATGTAAAAGAAGAGCTATACCAGATGATCATAAAACGTGCTGCATTTATGCCATTGGCCCTTGAATATATGAGAAGCAGCCAACCATTCTTAGACAGAAAACAGCTCTGTTAGAAGACTGGATGTTTTGCATGCAGAAGGTTCTGTTCTGGATGCTTGCCCCCGTGTCTAGAATGATCTGACTGAGGAGGCCTTTCTGGTGCCAGCAGGATTATCTTTTCAATGCCAGGTTAAGAGTTTCCTCTTCTCCCAGACATTAACATTGAATCACATCCTTGTTTTAACTTTAGAACAGCTTCCCTGCAGTGGCCTGCCTGGCACCAAATGTGCTATCTTTTTGGGGCCAGGTTAAGACTGTCCTCTTCACAGAAGCCTTTAAAGACCTCCCTGGTCATTCAAGGGCCTGGTACAATTATCCAGGTGCCTTAATTTTATTCTTGGTCTTGTCTTTTTATTGGCTTTTAATGTATATTATGCTATTTTAAATTCATTTGTAATTCTCCTTATGTGTTTATCTATTGTTTTTATACTTCGTTGTAAACCATCTACAGGCTTCAGCTATGGGTGGTATAGAATAACACAAATAAAAATAATTGGTGTCAGTTGTTTAAAATGGTTTAAATATTTGTGTTTGTGTATGTGCTTGTTCACATGTTTCTATGTAAATGGTTGTTATATTGTGCATAATTTATATTTGAAGTTTTGGATTTTTGTAATTCTGCCCAAAGAGCTTTGACTGTGGGCTGGGACAGAAATGGAATGAACAAATGATCCAGGCATCTCCACCTAAGGCTGGAAAACTCGCATGCAAAACTTTGGAGGGTCACTGCCAGCCAGTATCAGGCTACAAAGACTGATGGTCTGACTCACGATGAGGCAAATTTCTTACGTTCCTGCTGCTGCTGCTGCTATTATTGTTGTTGTTACTATTTCCTGCCTCTTTCCAGGCAACTCACAACATTAAAAACTTACACTATGAAAGCTTTCATAGAAATATGTAAAACTTAAAAAATAATTAAATCAGTAAAGTATTAAAATTAAAAGACCCTAAAAACAATATAAAGAATAGAACTAGCCCAGTGTAAACTCGCAAGCCAACAGCATTCCCAAATGCCCGCCAGAACCAAAGAGGGGCTGCCTGCCTTCAGAAACATAACAGGGAGCGTGTCACTGAGAAGGCCCCCTCCTTTGTTCCCATCAAGTGTGTCTGTGAAGATGGCGAGGCCAAGAGAAAGGCCTGCCCAGGAGATCTTAGAGGCTGGGCAGGCTCATGCAGGCGAACATGGCCTTTCCGATAGCCTGGAACCGAGCCAGATGGGGCTTTATAGGTCATCCCCAGAACTTTGAAGTTTGCCCAGAAATAGACTGGGAACCAGTGAAGCTGTTCAGCAAAGAGTCAAATGTTCCATGTAGGCAGCCCCAGTCAGCAGCTTTCTTGCGCCTTCTGGCTCTGCCACATTTACTTCCCATTAACCATCCATCCAACTTCAGTTTGAAATCTGAAATGATATCTCTGGAGAGCACAGAGGCTACAATGCTGGATTGTTGGGATGCACTTCAAGGAGATTAACAGTGAAACACGGGAAAGGGGGTGGAACAAGCCCCACAGTTAATGTACGAAATATGGAACCCTTCCATAGCTAGGAGGCAGGAAGTGTTAGGAGGCAGGAAGAAAAACTTCTTTTGTGTATGGCGCTGACTTGCTTGAGGGTAGCACCATCTCCGGGACGGGCTCCTGCTGCCACGGCACAGCCTTCCCTGCCAGTGCCCTCCGGAGGCTGGCTGAGGGTGATGGCGGTGGCAGCCCAAGACACCCATCCAGAAGGTATCAGCCTGGGAAAGCACAGTATAGCAGGAGCACTTGGATCTGACAGTGCCCTTTCCTCTCCTGCCAGGTCTGATTTATACCACTTCCCAAGGGCTAGATCGGGAAAACAAGGCTGAACATATCTTGGAGGTAAGTGATGACGAAGCTGCAATTAGTTTTATTTACTTGCAAGGGGAGGGTGCATTGTGTGTGTGTGTGTGTGTGTGTGTGTGTGTGTGTGTGTGTGTGTGTGTTTAAAGTCCTCAAAGAACATTCCCTTGCAAGTCAGAACACAGAAGGAAGACAACTCATTCCATCAGTTCCAAATTGCTCAGGAAGATAATTGTCTGCTCTGCAGTGTGTGTGTGTGTGTGTTTGCCCCCCAGTGCCAGCTTCAAAAATACTTCAGGGCTTGGCGTCCTAACTGATGGCTGAGCAGGGGTCCTGCTGCTGAGTCCCCCAGAACAGCAGAGGGTGGCAAGCAGTTTTCTGCTGTGTATCGTAATGAATTTCATGGCTAAATGATAAGTAAATGGAGCCTTCCAGTGGAGAGGCTTAGCCCATCCTTTCCCAGACTTTGGTCTGCGACCTTTCTGCTCCTACCACCTTGTCCAGAGTAGCCAACTGTCTATTTGGAAATTGAAAAAGAGTCACACAAGTATGAACACCAATGGAACTAAATAACTAGAATCACTGCCATGATTGTTCCAGAACCCACAATAGTGGAATCCTTTTATTAGACCAACCGAGAGATCACAAAAGATATGCCAGCTTTTGTGAACATGAGATGTTATAGAAAATGCAGGTTGGAGGCAGAGGAAAGGGAGAGAATCTGAGTTCACCTTGAAGCCCAGATGTGGGCTTGCTTGCTTGCGTTCTTCTCTCCTTCTCAACTGGACTTCTCAAAAACTTGCACATTTCTTGTGAGCTTTTGGTAAACTTGTTAGAGCAGTGTGAATTTTGAAATTGCGTTTATGGCCAACATGGCTACCTTTGTTTTATGTGCTATAATAAAGCAATCATATATTGCCAAGACTAGTGGCTAAATACATAGGGAATAACTAGGTGCTCTCTTCATGGCCAAATGGTCACAGCCTGTTCCCTTGGCCATACGCCCTTTCCCCAGGTACCAGGCAGCTGGTGGTTTTCCAGCTTTTGCATCTTTCCACCTATTCTGAAAGGCTGGAACGCTTCTCCTGAAACTTAGTAACTGGTAGTAAGACCTTTAAGCTAAAATAGGTTGTGTTTTTGCTCCCACCTCCTTTTGCCTTGGGCCCTGGCCACTACAAGAATACCAAGGCTGAAAGAGAGTCAGCACTTCTGGTCTATAACTTTGTGAGAAGTCTCTCTCTTTGAGTTGCTCAGCCAGTTACCCTTGCCACCGTATGCATGCGCACGGATTTTTGCTGGAGTTCCTCCCTTTCAGCATTAATAGCACTCTCAGCCTCTGATATAGGCCAAAATTACATCGCTAGACCTTTAAGCCATCCCTAAAGAATCTGCCATATTTTGAATGGCCAGGACACGACCACAGGGGGTGTGGGCACAAGAGTGTGTACGTGTGTAGAATCATCGTTGAGGCCCAGATCATGAACTTTAACGGCTGTCCTCGCTTTGTGATAGGGTTGCTTATTGGCTTTTCCTTACAGGTCTCCGTTTCAGACCACGGGGAGCCAACCCTGAAAAGCACTAGCCGAGTTGTAATCCAGGTCATGGACGTCAATGATAACGCCCCCAACTTCTCCCAAAAATTCTTCATGGTCCAGCTCCCAGAGAGAACCGCATCTGAGACTTCTGTTCCAGTCTACAGGGTGACCGCCGCAGACCGTGATGCGGGGCTGAACGGCCAAGTCACTTACAGCCTCGAAGAAAATGACGAGGGGTTCTTCAGCATCCACCCCGTGACGGGCGTGGTGTTCTCCAAAAAGGCCTTTCCTGCCCAAGAATATAGCATACTCACGGTGAGTGGGGTGTGGGGAGATGAGGCGTTGGCAGTTCCTGCTTCCCCACCCTGAGCACTGAAGATGCGACAATAACAGAAGTGCGGCTTGCTCACACATCGCCATCCCTCTACTGAATGTAGTCCGAAAGAGTTTGTAGGTTTTTGCAGCACTGCAAAAGCTATTTGAACAAAATCAGTGGTGAAATAAATGAAACAAATACATACACTGTCAGTTACAAATATGCATCCAATTTTTTCGCATCACTTAGAAATGTGTAATTCCAGCTGGCGTTTGGAAAGACTGGGAGATGAGGGAAAGGATGGAACTGGCAACACAGGGGAGTTAGGAAGGCATCCGCTGTGGGAATCCTTCCCGTAGATGCATATGGGTGAAAATGCCACCCTGGGATGTGTCCCTATCCAGTTACTCGGGGAGAATCCTGTGAGCCGGCTTCACATTACAGCCAGATCACTGACCATTGCAGAAGAAGAGCAGACTCGTGCAGAATATGGAAGATCTGGCTTAGTGCAAAGAGGGATTGTCAGCCTAGGCGGACTAGACTGCGAGGGCAGCCCAAAGTTCTCCGACTTTTGGCCTCTCGACATCAAGCCTGGTTTGTGAAAGCACCTGAGTGGTCACTGTGGAAATCCAGGCCGCAAACCATACGAGTCTTTCCCAGATTGGGGCCCTGCAGCTGTGTTAGACAACAGCTTCTATCATCCCCATCTGACACTGAGCAAGATGGACCTTTGGCTCAAATCCAGCAGGGCTTTTCGTATGTTGAGCAACCAGAGGCTTAAACAGAGCAGTCCGTCCAGAGTCCGCAGCTGTATGGACCCAGGAGGCGTCTGACTGACTGCATCACTCAGTCCCTGTTCCGATGGGAGAGGCGAACGAGTGCTGTCCAAATGTACACTGTGCGTGCAATCAACTAGTTTGAGGAAGACAAAAGCTATTGCGATTTAGTTTGCAATGACACAGCTGCATCACTCATGCACTTTGGTTTCTTATGGTCTCTTGGCATGAAAAGTCATCCCAGATATTAGACAAGAAAGCCAGTGACCTTTTTGATTTGATTACAATCTTGGCAAAAGTAGCCTTGGTTTTGTACAATCCCATCCCCAAAAAATAAAAAATAAGCTTGTTTCCCTTCTAAGCTTTTATTTAGGCTTTCAAATGTATTTCACACTGACATTCGAACTGAGGCATTGTGAAGAACACAGTATGTGACTGACTGCTCGGATTCAGACCACACGGTTTTGATAAGCCGGTGCTTTCCCCTCTTGGCAGATCAAGGCGACTGATGGCGGCAGCCCCCCTCTTTCCTCCAGCGTGAGGCTTCACATCGGCTGGATCCCTAAGCCCCTCCTGTCCTCAGAGCTGCTCGAGTTTGATGAGCCGCATTTCAACTTTGCAGTCATGGAAACAGACCCCGTGAACCACTTGGTGGGAGTGATCGGTGTGGAAGCTGGGCTCAGCCAGCTCTGGTTCGACATCACAGGTGAGTGGTACGCGGCTGGGGAAGGAGCTCCGAAGTGGTGGCTCTGAGCTGGCAAAGCGTTGTCCCGATTCTGAGGGCACTGGGCTTGCCCGTGAAGCCAGCAAACAAAGGCTGCCTATTCTGGGTGGTGGTACGCTATAGCCGAGGCCCCAGCATGGCCATGAGCGGTGTTCAGGCTGGCACAGGGAGGGATCCCACCAAAAGCGCTTCCCGGTACTTCTATTACCCACTGCAATTTACAAAATGGTATTTCTGGCATGTTCCCAATCTTAATGAAAATTCTTGTGGTGCAAACGGGCAAAAACACATCTTTGCGGCTTACAGGAAATATGCAGTAATCATACCTATTCCCCACAGCAATGAAAACAAATCAACTGCAAGGGAATGTGTGTGTGTGTGTGTGTGTGTGTGTGTGTGTGTGTTGAACCATCTTAACTGTTGAGTTGGAAGATATCAGCTATCAAGGCTTGGCAGTCCCCTTAATAAAATCTATTGTGCTTTATTCCTTTTCTTCCCTATTTTGCCCCACTGATCTGAAAGGCCCTGTATTTTCATGTGTGCAGTCTTGCCAGAAGACACACATCTCAACTCCTCAGGAAATATATAGATAAGGAAAAGCTGTCTGGGTTAGATCTTTCAGTGGGATTCCAGCAGGATCTTTAGAGCAAGGGTTTTCACTGACAAGAGATACTGACCAAGGACTGATGAACATGCATGGTCATTTGTAAGAATGGTGGTCTCTAAAGAGTCTCTACCAGCAACGCTCTTTACCATGGTGGACGCCATGCATAATTCCTTTTAGAATATATTATAGGGATGGGCAGCCTGTGGCTCTCTGGATATTTCGGCTATACTAGCAGGGGCTAGTGGGAGTTGTAGTCCAAACCCTCTTGGAAGCACAAGTTGCCCACCCTTTATATATTACAACCAGGTTACCTGGTATTAGGAATTAGTTCTGTCCTCCTGGATGAAAATCAGTGTCTAGACTGTCCCCGTCTTCTGTACCTTACCCATACCCAAGAGCTCGCTGATGAAAAGCAGCAGCACAGGGCAGTGGCACTGTGGAGGTTGTTAGCTTAGCGGAGAGGGTGTTGACTATAGAGCAGGCAGACCTGGGTTCAGATCTTTGCTCATGGACCTCACTGGGTTTCCTAATCACCAAATCCCAGCTTAACCTGCTCTACAAGGTTATGAGTTTACAGCTGGATAGCTTCACAATGTCCTCCCAGTGTGCTGCTGCTGTGAAAAAGGCAAATTCCATGTTAATCCTAGGAAAGGAACTGAAAAGAGAACTGCCATGATTGTACTGCCCCTAGACGAGTCTGTGATGTGACTGTGCTTGGAATACTCTACACAGTTCTGATCAATGTCCCTAAAAGAAGAAACTGTACAGTCGGGGGAAAAGTATAGAAATGGATAACTAAAATGATGAAAGTACTGGAACAACTTTCCTACAGATCACGTTAATTTTTATGCATAGTTAATGAGCAAATGGTAGAAATACATAGGTTTTCAAATAGTTGTTCAGCGTTAAGAAAATGAGATTGACGTATAGTTGATGTTTTAATATCTAGAAATGAAATATAAGTTACAAATTCAAGCACAGTAAATTGAACATTGATCTGCATCAATTGAATACTATGCCAAACTCGATGGGGCTGCCTCTCCTCCTACCAGGAAACACACGTAAGGAAAAATCAGTAGTTGGATTGTTACAAAGATAAAAACACTACTCCTGGATGTGCCCTGCAGTAGAAAAAGGAATTCTTAAAAGGTGACACTTGAATTTCCCATGCAACCATCTGCATGAGAGGCCATCCCTTCTGGGTCTGGTCCTCCTTAAGCCCTGCTCTGTGGTATTATCATTTTGTATTATGTTCTTATCATAATCTAAAGGGTTAACTTGTTGGGCATGGTTTCAGCACAGTGGATCCTCTATGGGAAGCTTCACTACATTATCTCTGATGTATCTTCAGCTGTAGTGAGTCTGAAATTCCTGTTTCATGGGATCATATTGGAGACTAGTTATTTTACCTGTGTAGAGGAAAGCTACCCCTGAAGGCAGACAGTTTTTAGACATGCAAGAATTGCCCTTCACAAGGGAGCTCCAAAGAATACTTCTTTGTCTGGTGCAGTTGGGCATGGATAATGAAGTACAAATACAATTAAAGCAGAACAAGAATCAACACAGTACAGAATTGACAATGCTTGTGGAAAGTTGGCTTTGTGTTAGGACTGTCTGCTAGTATTGTGTCCCCTTAAAGCTATTTTCCTTGGAATGTAATCTCAGCATTTATCTTTTCTCCTAAGGTAGGTTCTGTTTACTGTATGATATGGTTAGCCTCCTATATTCCTACAGTGACTCCGTTAATTCTTTGCATTTAATCATTACCCAATTTTCACCTGTATTCAGGCACACACTGCCAGAGTTGAAAGTGTCACTTTTAAGTTCATAACTCACATTTGCATCCAGTCATTCTTGCGGAGAGATTGCAAGGGGGGGCTTGCCTGTGGCAACCCCATGGAGCCTGAAAGCTGTAACGTGCAGCAAGAGGCATCTCGATGCTTTAAACACTGCAAGGGGGGTGCACTGCTCTCCTGCACAGAAAAGGATTTCGGGCAGCATGAGGAACACCAGTTTTCTCAGTGCAGTTCGTGGGTTTCCTGATCCAGGTGCCAGGCTCCGACACAGCCTTCCTCCACCCGGTGCTCTCCAGATGTTTTGCAGTGAAACTCTCAGGCTGTCTGACCACTTGCCATGCAGGAGGGGGCTGATGGGAGCTGGAGTCCACAACATGAGTGGACTTCACTCCACTACAGTGTGGTGTAGAGCACTGGCGTGGTGTAGTGGTTAAAAGCTCAGCCATGGAGCCAACTGGGTGACGTTGGGCCAGTCCCAGACTCTCAGCCCAACCTGCCTCACAGGGTTCTTGTTGTGGGGTTAAAATTGAGAGCAGGAGGAGGAGAATGATGTAAGACGCTTTGAGTTCTTTTACAAAAGCAAGATAGACATCTAATAAATAAATAAATTTCAGACAGGCACCGTACTGGGGAAAGCTGCTCTGCCCATTGCACGACCTTGAAGTTTTCTCTGCTTGCCCAGGCGTGGCTTCTTCATGAGAGGAAAAAAGGCAGCATACAAATGTCATGTAATTCTGATATATGAAGTAAACCTGTGAAATGTTCATTAAAGCAATCAAATATTAGGGCTTTATGCTTGAATAGCATGTGTGTGTGTGTGAGAGAGAGAGAGAGAACATGTTTTAATAGCATATCCCAGACACTAAATTTTGCGCACAGTACAAGCGGAAACATGACAAGCAAGCTGTCTGCGCGCACACGCCTGGATTCAAACTTGTCCACTTAGCGCCGCTCTGTTCCGCTGTGGCCATCTGCCGTGGAGCTCGGAGTTCCTGTGGGGGCATGACCTGTTTCGACGACTGTGCAGCACTGCATGGTTGATTGGCGTTTGTGCTGCTTCCCTCACATGACGGCAGAGGACATTGCAAGCTCACACACGGGACTGACCTTGAAGCCCAAGCCAAAAGCTCCCCCCCCCCCCGTGCTAGCACTCTTCTCTTCCACTTGTCTGCCCAAGCCATTTATAATGCAAGTCAGACAGCATCCTTACCCCTCCGCTCAAATAGCTCATTTGCTCCAGTTTGTTCTCTCCCAGATTTCCCTTCCCTTCCTGTATTGCCCAATAGCCAAAGATCTCTCAGTGGTTCACAACACATAAAATACCACATAAAATACAAACAGGAAGAAAAACAGCATTAAGAGATTACCATATTTTTACATAGGGCCCATCCACAAGTAAAAGCGAGAAATCATGGGTTAATTAATTACCCTATGAGTTGTTGAAGGTTGTTTGTTTTCGCTATATTTCAAGGTTTAATGTTGTTTTAATTATTGGTTTTACTGTATATCTATGTTCTATTTATGCGTGCTGTCTGTTGTATCGGCATCCTGAGACCTTCGGTAGTAGATAGGATATAAATGTTTTGAATAAATAAATAAGTCTGAACTAGGACACTATGTGTTATTTTTAGGTTAAACAACACAAAGCTAACCCAAAAACTATTTTCAGGCTAATTTTGGATTGAAATTGATTGTGGGGTTTTTTTTTTAAATTGCCCCATGATTTGCAACTGTTATATGCAAACTGAGTAATTGTGTTACCCAGTTTCTAAGCTATTCCTTGTTGCTTTTTCTTGTTTCTCCCCTTATTTAAGTTTCTGCCAGGCTTTCATTTCCCTTTCTTGAGTTTCTCCTTCTTTCCTACATGGACATATTTTCCAAGGACCAAAACCAAAGATTTCTTTCCTCTGCTGCAACTCATGATTTAACAGTTAAATGAACTGCTATATAGGATGTGCTTTTGGGTCCTTGTTGATTATTGCCCTACTGACAACCCTTCTTTTCTATGCTTGATGCATTTAATTTGAGATGCAATTTTAAAATTGAGAGGCCATGCATTTTCTCCATGGTTCAACTGACACAGCTACACTTCCCAATACTTTTCCACTTCAGGAGCCATATAGGAACATTCTGGCATTTCCCATTACTGTTGTATTCCTTCTCTTCAGTGCCTCTCATTTCTCTCCAACACACAGCCTCTACCAATAAATTGTAATAACCACAATTCTTGCCTTTCCTGCAGCAGGGCTACATTCCCTCCATGGCAAAATAGACCTTTCACAGTCATCCCCTAAACCAGGGGTCTCAAACACAACTTACCTGGGGGCCGCTGGAAGTAGAGTCTGGGTGAGGCTGGGCCGCATCAAGTATTCCTCCACCACGGTGGTGGTAGGCCGCTCATCCCGCGTTGCTCCCAGAGGCCGGCCCAGGCGCCGCCGGCACTTTGAAGGCCACAGGGCCCCTCGCCCATGCCCCGCCTGTCCCGGCAATTGGCCCGCGGGCCACGAGTTTGAGACCCCTGCCCTAAACTGACCTGTGGCTGAAACAGATCTGCTGGATTATATCAAGCTCTTCCAGGGATGTGGGGTTTATTTAACTTGCTTATTATATTTATATCTTGACCTTTTCCTGCAAGGAACCCAAGCTGACTGATGTAATCCTCTCTTCCTCTCCATTTGCTCTTCAGAACAACAAGCTGGTGAGAGAGGTTGGGCTGAGAGTCAGTGGCTGGCCCAAAGTCACCCAGTGAGCTCCATGGCTGAGTGGGAACTTGCACAGAGTCTTCTGAGTCCCAGCCCCACATCTTAATCACGATGCGACACCAGCACTCTGACAGCACCCAGAAGCAACTCCATTTCCAGGCCTCTGATGTCCAAATGGGATGACACTCAGAGGAGCTCATGGGGTTGCATGGGAAGGATCCCCGCTGTCACATGCCCTGGCCACATGCACTTACATGCTGCCAATGCTTGTGGTGGAAATTCTCCACTGTCGATGCATCCAGATGGCATGAGAACCAGCTCCCCACAAATACCGATGCATGTGCAACATCCTCCGATGCGTGAGGCGGGACTCTGAGTGGGCCAGAATCCCTCACATGGAAGATCGCTCTGTGTGCATGCATCTGTCAGCACGGAGAGCTCTTTCCCATGCTGTTGAACATAAGAAGAGTAGGGAAGAGTTTCTGCCACTACTGGTGACAGCGGCAGAGAGTGCGCCAAGCCACATAGCTCCACTCATGCATTCTTTCCATGAGTCACAGTGGACCTGCATATTCTGAAGCTAAGGGGCTGCTTCACTTCCCCCCATTCCTGGGTTGCACTGCATGTTATACTATGATATGGGCACTGGGGTGGGGAGCATTAAAGTCCTGAGAACCAGTGTGGCGTAGTGGTTAAGAGCATGGGACTGGGACTCAGGCGATCTGGGTTCTAGTCCCCGCTCAGCCATGGAGCCAACTGGGTGACTTTGGGCCAGTCACAGACTCTCAGCCCAACCTACCTCACAGGGTTATTGTTGTGGGGATAAGCTGGAGGAGGAGAATGATGTAAGCTGCCTTGAGCCCTTTGTAGGAAAAAGGCAGGATATAAATCGGGGGTGCAGGGGGGGAAGTGGTAGAGCTGATTCTTAGGAAGGAGAAACTGTCCATATAGAAGGAAATAGCTAGAGCAACCTATAGGAAAAGCCATGAAGTATCTCTGAGATGTGACAAATGCAATTACTTCATTTCCTTTTGTTTTTAAACACTGGGTTTCCTCAGTTCCAGCAGGGGCAGGGGGAAGCTAATGGGTGGGGTGGGGAAGCCTTGAAGAAGGATGGTTTGCACATGATGTGCGGATGCCTTGGAAAAGCTGACAAACACTGTTCTACAGTAGATGAGCAGTGTGGATGCAGCCTCGGGTGAGCTGTGTGGCTCAATGTAAACACAAACCAGGGGGTCTCTTTACCATTGAAACCCACCCTGTATGAATGGAGTATTGGACAAAAAAGGTGCTTTCCTGATTTCAGTTCTGAGAAGCTAAATGCATGTAGTTTTAAGTCACCCTCCAACGGTATCTGAGGGTCAGGAAAGGAACAAGGCTCTTCAGAAAAGTATCCATCGGTTCCTCTGCTCTTGCGGAGCGTATGGCGCTTAACCTACCTTGTTGTGTGTATCACAGAAAAGGAAGTGAGCAGGTGAGCGGAATGCAGGCGTCCTTCAGGGAGCGAGGCAAGTCTCAGCACAGCTAGGGGAGAGAGCGAAGCAGCAGGCTTCTCTCTCATGCCAGCTGGCCTGGCTATTCCTTCGTTCTGGAGGCGGTGCCCTCCTGGCTCTCACTGGTTGATTTCACCTCCTTTACCTTGAATGACACCATTGAACTCGGAGTTTCCTTCCTAGGCTAGTGCAAAATCTAAGCTAAATAAGCAAAGCTGGTGTTGACTGGTGCCAATAGAAGCCTTTCATAGAGATTCCCCACTGACGTTGCATAATGTTCAGCTGCCTTCCTGTAGATGGTTCTTGTCAGGGTTTGCGAGTGGCTTCGCAGCCGCGAGGGCTGTTCCTCCTCCCGGTGCCCCTTAGAAGATGCTGGTCGCCCGACTTCCTCTTCTTCGCCATAGTTCTCACCTACTAAGTCGCCCCTTTCCTCCAAGGTGGCGATGATGAAATGGATTTTGACATCGAGAAGAGCACTGGCAGCATTGTGGTTGCACGAGCCCTGGATGCAAAGAGAAAGTCAAACTACAGCCTCTCCGTGGAAGCCACCGATGGGTTCAGCACCATCAAGACGCAGGTCAGCACCCCCAGAGCCTGATCTAAACCCTTCCGTAATCTTTGCTGTGGAGTGTTCCTAAGAACTAAGGGTGGGCTGACACGTGTGCCTTTAACACAAAAGTAATTACTTTGCAAAAATGCTGGAAATGCATAGTTCACAGCAACTCCTTGCATTTGGATTGGGTGCTGCTGGGCCCTGAACTTGTCCGATTCTTCCCCTGGTGGATTAGCTGGATATTGCTTTTAATGCAGGCGCTTTGGGGGAAGAAGGACCCAAAGCACTCAAATTTTGCATCCACCCCTCTATTAGTGCCAATACCCAATTTCCAATGTCCCGTTTGAGACAGTGTAGCAAAACAGAACCAAGAGACAAACACTCCTCCATGGAGGTGTTTCTTTCTCTTAAATGGTCCCTCAGCAGATCCCACCGTGTTCCAGTAATTAGAGATTCAAAAATCCTACAGATCCATTCCCGGGCCACATCTTAAACCAGTTGCCCACTACACATATCTGGGGGAGAGATAAAGGCCCATCCACCAGTGGGGTGAGAAGACCTCCTTGCCCACTGCATGTTCAAACAAGATCCCAGAGCACAGCTGAAGCACCCTGAAATTAATCTGGATAATTGAAGAGCCTGGGAACGTTTGGCTAAAGATCCTTCCTCTCCTTGAACAGCTGCAATTCAAGGCCTGCTTAACTAGTAGCCATGATCAAATAACCCCAATATTTTTAGCATAGACATGCCTTTTGTCTCCAGCAAGTAGGCACTGCTGTCTTTCACCTGCTGGGTGACTAAAAAGGTTTACCTGGAAAAACAAGGCATTTGCTGGGATCTAATATTATCATTTTTTTGCTGGTAGCCATTAAGATAATTTATTATGTGGGAAATTGTAAGAAGCCGGAGCTGAGAGTAGCACTCTGTACTCTGCTGTGACTCAGGTGTTGGCGGCTGATGTTTTGAACGTCTTCAAGCATAAAGCTGCCACTAAGAGTCGTCCTCTGGCACTTCAGCTGACATGCAATTCCAGCCTCCAGGAACCTCTTTCTGTGTTTGCTTTGGCACCGACAGCCATTGCTGGATGTGCTGGTGAACCAGATATTGCAAAATCATGGCAGGCTGGATTTCCCTGTAGGAAGAGAGTCATTGCATCATGCCACTCCCCAACCCCCCGCCCAAGATATATTTATGCAATGAAGTCATCAAATCAGATAGAAAGAAGCAACAGACAGGGGCAAGTACTTTCAAAGGTGTTTTCACAATGGTTCTGGTATACGTAGAGTTTCCCCCATTCCATTTATACCTGCACTCTTAGTCTGAATGAAATTAGCCGGTACTGAACTCCATGATATTTTCTGTAATTCTGATATTCGCTTCAAAGTAGCATCCCCGATGCAGCCCAGTTAATTGCAGACAAGCAGGCATGTTGTTCCACTCCTTTTGTTCTCCCAGCTGCTGTGTCTTCTTGGCTCCGTTTGCCCACATTTCGTTTTATCTGATCGGCTGTGGTGACCCGTGTGATTTCATTCATGAGAATCCGCAATGTCATCACATTGGAGGTTGTGTAATCACCAGCATGGAGCATCCTTGGGCGACTGCCAGGGTCCCAGCACACTGCTAAGGTCCACCACCTGCCCTTGCTCCGGGCCCCTTTATTTGCAATTTCCTGCAGTGCCTCTGACGGAGTGCCTTTGTGAGAAATTATAGTGGTGGCCCCAGCCGACTGTTGCTGCCTGTCATCTCTTCCCAGTAAGCCCATCAGGGCCCACCAGCACTGGAGGAGGCCCATCGAAGAGTGCCTTATCCAGTCCAGCCCCTGGAAGTGCGTTTCCATCTAGCTTCCAGCAAGAATGGCATGGGTCTCCACCGCAGACATGTATAAATGGCGGCTGTGCACCAGTGAGAACAAGGATGGCCACAGTCGTGTCAAGGAGGAAAAGAGCACTGGAGTAAAACAGCAGCACTCCTGGCCTGGGTTTGTTTACGTGGCATTCCTTTAGAAAGCCTCATTGCACTGAGAGAGATGGCGGGGCGCACACCCAGGCCGTGCTGATTCCAGCATGCTAAATCCGCATCCAATTCAACGCTGTTAGTGTGATGCTAATGGGTGGCCTTTAAACAAAATTCATAAATAAGTAAATAAATAAGGCCAGCATCTCTGGAAAGGGTGTTCTGTGAAAATTGTCCAGTTGCCTAGGATCTGCTTTTCAGCCAGACCTCACCCAGCCTTTTCTCCTGCTCACTTCCCCGCCACCACAGGCCTATATCCATGTGATTGACATCAACCAGCATAGCCCACGGTTCTTGGAGACCCTGTACGAGGTGCATATCCCAGAAGACACACCTCCAGGGACCGAATTCACTTCCGTCAGTGCAACAGATAAGGACCCTGGGAAAGGACTGATCTATACCCTTCAGAGCAGCCTGGATCCCAGAAGCATGAAGCTCTTCCAGATGGACCCAAGCAGGGGCACCCTCATGACTGTGGCAGGGCTCGACTCCCGAGCTGTACCGCTGCACACCTTGACAGTGATGGTATGTGATTCACAGCAAAGCATCCAGTGTGTCGGTCGCCTGGGCTCTGCTATTCTGTGGGTTCCAGGGAAATTCTAGCTGTTCTAGAATTCTTCTAGCTGTTCTTCTAAATAAGGGCCAATCTGTTCGCAGTTTAAGAAATCGAATGAGTTGCTCTGCTTCCAGAGCCTTGTCCCACATGATGGCCCCGTTGCAACCACTTCATGGCCACCAGTCTGCTTCCAGGCACAATCCCAGAGTGCTGCTGTGGAGCTGCATACCGCTTGGGACTAGGCCGCCGGAGAGCTGCCCTCTTCTGCAGGAGCCAGTCCAGGCTTGAAGGCCTTCCAGGGAAGCTCATCTCTCCGTACCACTGCCATCAGGAGCACATTCAGTGGGGGATAAGAGAGGGACTTCAGGACTCCTTGCAGAGGGAGGTTGGGGTGCCCCTTTCTCTGTTGTCTTCCACCGGTAGGCAAAAATGTCTTGTCTTGTCTTGTCTTGTTTCTGATGACAAGCTCTGGCATGTAACCTGCTGTGTTGCTGAAGTGGACTTTAATCTGTTAGGTGCTGTTTATTGATTTTATTGTTATAACTTTAATTTTTTAGCTATCACATATGTACTGGCTATCATAAAATGTGATATTTTATGCTATATTTTAATTAAAAACTTGCATTTAACCTGTATTGTATTGATAGCCACTTTGAGTGTCACTTATCTACGGAAAGGCTGAATGTGAAGGAATAATAAATAAATAATCAAATAGTTTGGAGGATAAAAGAAACCCCCCAAATAAAATAACATCATGAATATAACAACTGTTTCTAAAAACCACAGCAGCAGCAGAAAAGTAGATACATCATAATTAACCAGATGTGGACAGTATCCAGTGCTGTTCTTCCATCAGCAGAAGGCAGATGGCTGGGGGAACGGGGTTCCCCTTCCCCTGCAACTCAGCTGGATCGCCCCATTTGGGGGACTCTCTGGGGAAGGCCTGGAGGTGCACCAGGGCTGCAGATTGGGAGGAGAGGGCGGGGAAGCCCCATTGTCCCATTGCAGAAGTGGACTTCCTCCCAAGATGCATTGGCTCCAACCCTAATAGTCCATCCAGAGGTAGGAATGGGAGAACCAGGGATGCTTGAGTTCACTAAGGGTCTCCAGACTTGTTTCATGTACCCCCCCCCCCCTTTTCACTTGGAACCTGTTTTTCTTTTTGTTCAAACTGGAACAGTGTGCTTCCAAGTACATTTTCTCCACTGGCTAAAGAGTTGAAGTCCTTTCAAAAAATGTTAAAGTACAAACTCAGTTCCCCCAGATTGGCATTTTTCAAATATGACTTCAAGTTTGGGGATGCATTTTTCAAAAAAATAACTCGTATTTGTGACTGTGAATGGAGCATGTTCTAATGACCTGCGAGCAGAAATGAATTGTCCTCACATCCCCAACCAAAGCAGAGTAGTTTTTGCAGACCTAATCATGAAGAATAGATACCCCTGCCTATGGATGGCTGCCAGCCCGGCAGAGCCAGGCTCTCAGCCTGTCAAGTGAGCCACAGGTGGTAGCAGCGAGTGGTGGCAATGATGATGAGGATGAAGGACGAAAGAGGCAGGTGACAAGGGCACTGGGAAGGTCAGCTCCCTGAGGGAAGGGCCCGTGCGTGTGAAGGCCCCGTTCAAGAGCCCCCAGATGCCTGGAGCTGGCACGTGGGTCTTGCATTCTTGCCCGGGAGCCCTCCCAAGTGAATGAGTATGGCAAAACCAGGGTCAAATCCAGGTTGCCTTTTACCCCCTTTCCCCAGGCATTCCGCAGCAGGAAAAATGCACTCCCGTAATGGCCTCTCTTCCCTTGGACTGACATTCACTCCTCTGTCCCTTTGGCTGTGCAGGTGCGAGACCAGGAGGTTCCGATCAAGCGAGATTTTGCCAGAGTTGTCATCCACGTGGAGGACTGCAACAGCCATCCTCCCCAGTTCTCCAGCCTCCACTACAAGGCAGATGTTCTGGATGTCGCTCCAGTAGGCACAGAGGTCGTGCAAGTCCGAGCCCTGGATCAAGATCGCGGCATTAATGCAGAAATCCTCTACTCTCTTGAGGCTGGTAAGGGGCTTGAGCGAGCCATGGCTGACTATGAGTGCACGTGTTTGCATGAGTAAAGATCAGGCACCTGGAATAGTGAGCTAAATGCACCCTTTTCCATTACGCTACGCAAGTAAGACTAGCTAGAATAGCAAAATCACACACACTGGAGCGGGATTGCCTCCCCTAACCTCTGACCCTCAGGCATCCTGTCCCATTCCGACAGTGCACCAGGGTCCTCCAATTCTCACTGCAGCCTCCAGGTTTGTTGACCATTTTTTTCTCTGATACTGCTTTGCATCCTTCTAGTTGCTAGTAGCACAGGGTTGTCTACAGTTGTCAAGTAGCATCACTTATTCCTGTATAGGCAGCAAAAGAGACTTTTGTATAGGACAGGATAGAAATGCTCTAAATAAATAAATTAAATGAAATAATAAATGAAAGAGAAATCATCTCCCACCTGGTGTTTGTAACTGTGCAAAACCTCTGACACTCGCACTTCATTACTGTGTAATTCAGTGCACAGAAATGTTGTCCTCAACCCACTACATGGATCAATTTATTTACGGTGTTTAGAATATTTGTATAGCACCTCCTATTTTAAGACATTTGAAGCAGTTTGCAACAGTTATAAACCAATATAAAGCTCGACAACATGTACCAAACTAATGGCTGGGGAAAGACAAGGTAAGCAAGTGCATTTTCAATAAGCATCATAAGCATATGATCATCAGTGCCTGATGTATCGCAGAAGGGAGGTCATTCCAGGTGGGGCAGGGGGCCACCACAGAGAAGGCCTGTTGCTGTGTTTTTGCCAGATGCCAGTGTGGCACCAACACGCTCAATACTGTAGCATCGAACAGATCTGTACAGGGGAAACAATAGTTCTGGTAACATGGTCCTCTGTTGCTTAGGGCCTTATATGTTAAAAGTAATACTCACTCCTGACATCCAGCGTGTTCTTCCAGAGCAGGCGTGAGGTGTGTGTGGCAGGGCATTCACTCCGAGGGGCTTTCTAGACAAGCGACAGCTTCCAAATGACCCTCAAGGGCAGCCCCACACAGGGGGCACTGCAGAAGTGGCCGTGATGTTATTGGGAGCCGAGGAGGAGGTGCTGTGAGCAGTGTGGCACAGTGGTTGCAGTGCTGGGCTGGAACAGAGGAGATCCGGCCCCGGTCCCGGCCCCTGCTTGGCTGTGAAGCTCGCTGGTGGCTTTGGGCTAATCACTGACTCTCAGCTTAACTGATCCCACAGGATTGTTATGAGGATAAAATGGAGCGGAGCAGGAGAATTAAATAAGCTACCTTGGGTTTCTTGCAGGAAAACGGGCAGGCTATAGCTGCAATAAATGAAGGAGGCTGTCCAAACTACTATTTATGAGCATATTAAGGCCAAATGGGAGGGATGAGCACTTGTTCGTTTAGCAACAGCATTACATTTTCTTTATTTCTCTTCCTCCACCTCAGTTGTAACAGGTGGGCAGATCATAAAATCTTCAGCAGATCAATGCCTGCTTATTCTAGGCAGCAGTAGTTTCTAAGCCAGGTGAGACATCCTGTTGAGCCAGCCTACTGAGCAAATTGCAGTAGCAATTCCAGGGTTGTGGGCATTTTCTAGCACTGAGTCCAGGCTCTTGGCTCTCTGACCTGCAGTGCGACACAAACACAGTTTGTTCTGTATCAGTTTCCGTCTGTCTTCAAGTCATCAGAACCTGACTGCAGCATGAATGTCTGTTAACCTCTCTAGCTGACGCATGGCCAGGAGTATGCCTGGCATACAGAGTTTCACATTCCTAGATCTCTTTAAACAGAGAGCAGGTTGCCAGGGGAAGGAACTGGGCAGAACTCTTCATCTTTAAGGCTGCAGTCCTTGTTCACAAGTAAATCCCACTAAAATAATCAGGGCTTATTTCTGAGTAAGCAAGGACAAGATTGTGCACCTGCTGCCTCTAGCAGAACTCTTACATTACACATTTGTGGCATGGTCCTCAGAGCACAAGCCCAGAGGAGCAAAATGCAGTTGCCCCCTCCTTCTATTCACACATGTTGTTAAGAGATGCAGTATCCCAGTAACTGAAATGTGTTCATCTTAATCTATTGGACTAAGAGTGTCGATGGAAGGCAGTAAGTACCATGGCAATGATCTCTTCATTCAGTCTTCTCTCTCTTTAATTTCAGGGAACAATGGGGACTTTTTCACCATAAACAAACTCTCTGGAATTATTACAGTTTCTCAGAAGCTAGATCGATTGAAGCAAGAGAGATTCACTCTCACTGTGAAGGCAGAAGATCAGGGATTTCCCCCGCTGAAGGATCTGGCAACTGCGAACATTTACATCAAGCGCTCTGATGGCACACCTCCACAATTTACGGAGGAGGAATACGTTGTAGAGATCAGTGAATCTGCTGCCATTGGCTCTCCTGTTGTCCTTGTTTCTGCCACAAGCCTTTCCTCTGTCACCTACAAAATAATAGAAGGAGATGAGAATGGCTTCTTTTCTATCAACTATCAATCTGGACTTATTTCTATACAAAGGAGCCTAGATTTTGAACAGGCTTCGTCTTACCAGCTAAAAATCCGTGGTACCAACATGGCAGGATCCTTTATGGATGCTCTGGTGTTTGTTTATATCATAGATGAGAATGACAATGTCCCTGTCTTTGAGAAGGCTTCCTTTGTTGGCTGGATCAATGAGAATGTCCCATTGGGTAGTATGGTTATGGATGAAAACAATGCACCATTAGTGATATGTGCATCTGATGACGACCAAGATTCTAATGCATTGTTAGTCTATGAGATTTTGCAGCCAGAGGCACAGTTTTTTTTCAAAATAGATCCAAGCATGGGCACTCTTACGACTTGTGCTGATATTGACTACGAGCGTATCCCAGTTTTCCACTTCAGTGTGCACGTCCATGACAGCGGCAACCCCACTTTGTTTGCATCCAAGCCCGCGGAAGTCACCATTTATGTCAAAGATACAAACGACTGTCCTCCAGTATTTGCCAAAGCTATGTACCAACTTTCAGTAGGGCTTCCTGTTCACCAGGGCATGGAACTTTGTACAGTGCATGCCAAAGACGTAGACTCAGAGATCATCTACAGCATAGCAGAAGGGAATCATGACCGCATGTTCGATATCCACCCAACAACTGGTGCCATCTCTGTGCTGAACACGACCAGCTTGGGAAGTGATCTTGAACTCACTGTTCAAGCAGGAGATAGTTTATTTACTACTAGTGTTTTGGTAAGGATACATTTTATTGAACCAAGAGAAAGTACCTTAAAATTTGTTCAAGATTTATATCCAGCAACCGTGAAGGAGAACTCCAGTGATATCCAAAGTCTGGTTGTTCTTAGTGTCACTGGAAATCAGTTGAACGAGCCCCTTGTTTATTCGGTCATGAATGGCACAGAAAGGTTCAGGATGATCCAGTCCTCAGGGGTGCTTCAGACCAAGGGTGTGGAATTTGACCGTGAAACTCAGGACATGTATGAGATTGCAATAGAGGTGAAGGATGGTAGAAATCCACCAAGGGTGTCTCAATCAATAGTAAAAATACATGTGGATGATGTGAATGACAATCCACCCCATTTTGAAAATGTGCCTTATTATGTAGCGATACCGGATGGCTGCGAGCCAGGTGATGTCATTTTTCAGGTTTCCGCAACTGACCGGGATCTGGGAAATAATGGAGTCATTTTTTACTCTTTTGTGGAAGATTACAAGTATTTCTGGATTGACCCCTACATAGGGGACATTTCACTCAAGAAACCCCTTGATTATCAAGCTTTAAATAAATACACCCTCAGAGTCATTGCCAGAGATGCTGGTGAGCCATCTTTACGTGCTGAAGAGGAGGTTGTAGTCATGGTGCGTAACAAATCCAACCCCCTGTTCCAGAGCCTCTTGTATACCGTTAAGGTGCCAGAAAACATTCCATTCTACACACCTGTTCTCCATATCCAGGCTCGGAGCCCTGAAGGGTTGCGCTTAATTTACAACATTGTGGAAAAAGAAGCCCTTAAAATGTTCAGCATTGATTTCAAGACTGGTGTGCTTATGGTCACTAACCAACTAGATTATGAATCGAACACAAAACATGCCTTTACCGTCAGAGCAACAGACACTGCAGTGGGTGCCTTTTCAGAAGCAATGGTAGAAGTAGAGGTTGAGGATGTCAATGACAATTTCCCTGAATTTTCTCAGGTGGTTTATACTGCATCCATCTATGAAGGTATGCCAGCTCAGGCACCTGTTGTACAACTCTTTGCTACTGACAAGGATTCAGGGCGGAACAAAGTTATTTCCTATCAGATCTTGGAGGACCGTTCAGATGTGTCAAAGTTCTTTCGTGTTGATGCCAGCACAGGCGAAATAACAACAACCCAGACTCTAGATTATGAAGCCAACCATGAGTTTCACATCAAAGTTAGAGCCACAGACCATGGGGTGCCTCCTCTCAGCAGTGACACCCTTGTGATCGTCCATGTGTTGGACGTCAACGACAACCCACCCAAGTTCAGTCAGTTTCAATATCAAGCTAATGTGAGTGAAATGGTCACCTGTGGTCACACTGTGATAAAAGTCCAGGCTTCTGACCCAGACAGTAGGGACACCCCTCGACTGGAATATCTGATCCTTTCAGGAAATGAGAAAAGGCATTTCACCATTGACAGCACTTCCGGGATCATTTCCACACTGAATCGTTGTAAAAAGAACCTGGACTCTTTTTACAGTCTCAAGGTCTGTGCATCTGATGGCGTGTTTAAGACAGCTGTGCCAGTCTACATCAATGCCACAAATGTAAATAAGTACAGCCCATCATTTCAGCAGGACGTGTATGAAGCAGTCCTGGCTGAAAATGCTAAGGTAGGGACCAAGGTAATTGAGTTGTTAGCTGTTGACCCCGATGATGGACTGTATGGCACAATAGATTACACCATCATCAACAAGCTTGGCCGAGAGAAATTTGCAATCAATGACAAGGGGTACATTAAAACGCTGCAGAAACTGGACAGAGAAAATTCCACAGAGAGGGTCGTTGCCATTAAAGTCATGGCCAAGGATGGGGGAGGAAAAGTGGCATTCTGCACTGTCAAAATCATACTCACAGATGAAAATGACAATCCACCTCAGTTTAAAGCTTCTGAATACATCTTGTCCATCCAGTCCAATCTGAGCAGAGGGTCCCCAGTCATTCAGGTACTAGCTTATGATGCTGATGAAGGTGTGAATGCTGATGTCACCTACTCTGTCGATTCCGTGGAGGAGGTCATCGCAGAGGATGTGATTGAGATTAACACAGCCACAGGAGTAGTTAAAGTCAAGGAGAGTCTTGATGGGCTAGAAAACAGAACAGTGAACTTCAGAGTCAAAGCTGAAGATGCCAGGCCTCCGCACTGGAGTTCTGTTGTTCCAGTGAACCTTCAGGTTGTCCCAAAGGAAGTGTCTTTGCCAAAGTTTTCTGAGCCACTCTACACATTCTCAGCGGCGGAGGATCTCCCAGAGGGATCAGAAATAGGATCAGTTAGAGCTGTGGCAGATGACCCCATCATTTACAGTCTAGTAGAAGGAACCACTACTGAAAGTAATAAAGAAGGGACATTCTCCTTGAATAGGCAAACAGGGGCCTTGACTATCCAGAAGGCAATGGACCATGAGAAGATGAAATGGTACCAGGTGGATGTTTTGGCCCATTGCTCACACCAGGATATTGACTTGGTCTCTTTGGTATCAATAAACATCCATGTGAAAGATGTCAATGATAACACACCTGTCTTTGAGGCCAATCCCTACAGAGCCTTTGTCATGGAGAACATGCCAGCAGGGACTATTGTCATTCAGGTCACTGCCAATGACCAGGATACTGGAAGTGATGGGCAAGTGAGCTATAGCCTAGGATCAGAGCCAAGCAACATCAGAGAACTCTTTACCATTGACAGCGAGAGTGGTTGGATCATGACACTTAAGGAGCTTGACTGTGAGCTCCAGGAAACCTACACCTTTTTTGTTGTGGCAACTGACCATGGCAGAAAACATCAACTTTCTTCTCAAGCCCTAGTGGAAGTCACAGTCACTGACGAAAATGACAATGCACCGCAGTTCACCTCTGAAATCTACAAAGGGTCAGTTGTCGAGAATGCTGAGCCTGGGCAGCTAATTACCACCCTTGGAACACTAGACAGTGATATTTCAGAGCAAAACAGACAAGTCACGTGTTACATCACTGGTAAGAATCTGTTTGATTTTTTGATAAGTTAGAATAACCCGCTTCTTCTGTGGTTTGTTTGCCTTTGAGAAGTCCACTATTCTATAAATTGCTCTTGTCAAAATCAATGCAATGAATGTTTCAGAGATGCAGGACCAGTTAATACAACATGCTTCCCATATTGTGGGAATTGTGCAAATGTGAGAGCTGCATGTCATCATTCCCCAAAAAGGTCATTTTTTGAAGTGAAACAGCTAGAAAGCCTCTTCCTAAGAAAAATTATGCACAGTCATACTTAGGGGGAAAATCCCTGATGGAAAATAGGTTGTGTGAATTAATCATAGAGCTCTAAATCATTTGAATTAAATGTAGCCAAGCGCTTTCACATGTAGAGCATGAATTCATTTGTGGGAAATATCCAAAAGTCAACTAATCAGATATTCACCAATCTGGTGTGTTAAAACCCACCCCTCACTTATCAAAACTAGCCCATGTTTATTTCTGCATTCTATAAAATAGGGTGCTCACCTTCCATGACCTGCCATTTACTCGCCACAAGTGCCTCACATAAGATAGCCAAAAGATTTGCATGGCATGCTAATGAAGGTCACATGACACAGTATGAATTGATGCCCTTACATACTGCCTATACGTAGCTGGCACTATGAATGGATGCTGTCTAGTACATTCCTCGGTTATCGTGGGATTCCTTCCTTTTATGTCTCACTCAAAACTAGAGTAAGCTTACAACCACAATGCTGCCCCAAACAGATTGAAGGCTCGTTGGTTCGAAAACATGCCTGATAATGAAGGAGCCGCTTCAGCATTTGCTGTAATGCAGTGGTTTTCAACCTTTCCACAGCTGGGGACCGGCAAAAACAGGAAAACCACCTCAGGGACCGCTCGGGCAGAAACAAAAAGCACCATACAGTGTTCTGTGTATTAGTTTCCCGACACAATACCAAAAAAATGAAGATTGTCCAAAACGAGCAGAAACCGAGCAGCAGAAATGCCAACAAAGGAACAAAATACCAAAAATGGCACAGCATGGCTCACAGCCAGCTCCCACCAAACTGTCTCTGCTCTCCTCCTCTCCCCCCACCATCCCGGGCCCCAGCACACCCTCCATGAACACAGTGCCAACTGAGGAAGAGGTGCCAGAGCACAGCCATCCCTGCACAGGTCCATGGCAAGCAGGATGTGCCCCGTACCCTGGACCAGCAGGAAATCTCCCATGACTGGCACCAGTCCATGGACCAGTGCTGAAAACCACTGCTGTAAGTGACTTCAGCTCTGTCAGTCTGCACTCCCTGCAGGGATGTGGTTATGCGAACTGAGTCTAGAGGCATGCGCCCATAAGAAATCATCTAAATATAACATTTTCCTTTTGCTCCTTATACATCATCCAAAAGCAAACCAATTCTCAAGCTTTCTCACAGCAGAGGTGGCCCACCCCCTTTCCCCAGTTGCCAGCCATTTGGTGGTTTCCTGGCTTTTCTGCGGTGTTTTTCCCTGTTCTGAAAGGGAGACAAACCTCTCAAGGTGTGGGCATTTTCAGCAAGTGCTTTAAACTGCAATATCCTGATATTCTGGGTCTTTAAGTCCCACTCTTTCCCCTTTGGTCCCAGCTCTTTCCTTTGGCCTCACTGGCCACTGGAATGCAGCCCCCACAATGGAATTCTGCCTACTGGCAGAAAGCGGTTTCCTGTCCCGGCCCACTAGAGTCCTCTTGGCCTGCGTGAATGGCACTCAGAGGACTCAGGGTGCCCTCCTCCCTTGCTCAAACCTCTGCCTGAAATTGTGTTGGTTTTGACCCAAAATTTCATGACTGTGCCTTCCTTGCCTTATCAGAAGGAGATGTTCTGGGGCAGTTTGGTGTTGACAAGGTTGATGGAGAATGGAGGATCTTTTCCAAGAAGCCTCTGAACAGGGAAGATACAGAAAAATACCTGCTCAGAGTGGTGGTATCTGATGGAAAGTTCCAAGCGACAACAGAAGTTGAGATTTCAGTCCTTGATGTCAATGATAACAACCCTGAATGCAAGCAGGTATGTCCATAGAGTTGTTTATCTTCGTCCATTGAGTGAGTGGGGGCTATTTTCTCTGCTGTCACCTTTTCTTTAGATGTGGCACCTTTGCATACAATGAAATCTAAAAGGGGCACAGAGGTCATTCAGTATAATCTAGGTACTCAGTATTAAATTATGAGGCTTGACTGGCCTTGTTGAATGAAATCCTGAGCAGTGTGGGATTTTGTAGCTGTCTTCCCTTGGCATGGAGCACTTTGGTCAGGATGACAAAGGTTCAACTGTGGCTCGTCAGATGTGACCTGATTGTTTATTATTCTTGAAGTTCACTTTTATTATAGAAAGCTTGGAGCATCTTAAATGGGGCTTCATCATCCAAACACCACAAGTCAACATTTTGTTAGCTTGACCACTGCCAAACTATTAGTGTTGCCAGATACAACATAACCAATTAGATCCATTCTGGTGAGTTATTGGACTTGACTTTTGGCATCAGGATCACACTAGATGATCTTTGACTTTCTGATTTTACAATTTTGCTGAGTATTGATCAATTTATCTGTGTGTGGAATTGTAGCCTCTGTTAATCGAACTGGAGTGGGGCCCTTCCTATAGGCATTTTGTGCAGGTGGAATTAAGTCCATCACTTCACTTGATAACAACAGTGCTCCGTGCACTTCGGTGTTTAATCATGCCGGCCACATGTCCATGGAGACTGTCTGCGGACAATTGCTGGTTCCCTCGGCTAGGAAACGGAGATGAGCACCGCCCCCTGGAGTCAGGCATGACTGGACTTAACGTCCAGGGGAAACCTTTACCTTTACACCTTTTCACTTGATAAGTTACTTTTTCTTCTTTCCAGATGCCATACAAAGCAAAAGTTTCAGAAGATGCACCTCAAGGGTTTTCTATTCTGAAAGTGTCTGCCATAGATGTTGATGTTGGCAGCAATGGCCAGATCATTTATAGTCTCCATGGATCTGGTGCTCAGGAGTTCAAACTGGACCCCTATTCAGGTAAGAAGAGAATCTAGACACACACATTGTGGCCATTTTTGAAGGTGCATTATTGGTTTCTATATTTGTTACTTGCACATGCAATAGAATATCGGGCCTATATATTGTAGATCAGACAAAGACTTTTCTTCCAGGCTGTTCATTTTTGCTTTGGTGCTTCTTCTGGAAATGCTTTGACAGTTTGAATCACCAACCAGGAGCTTCTAGAGAATGTTCTTCATATTTAAGGGCTAAGCATTTTGAAGCCAATGTTCTCCTTAATATTTGTATCTCTCCAAAATGACTGGCTTGTGGATGACAGGTCAACCGCATGTGGTTGGACCCTAAGCTAGAAGCAATGTTAGCAGTTGTCAGAAATAGTCCAATTATATTGTTAAATCCATTGTACAAGAGAAATGTATCATCTGTAAAGAACTTTGCAGTGACTTTCCCTAAGACTAGTTGTTGCAGAGTAACTTCTTTCCCCCCACATTTCTTCAGTCATTTCTTCCTCATAGCCCCTCAACCCATATTTCAACTTCTGAATCTCTCCATTGTGCCTTTCCTTCCTTGAATCAGCCTGTCATTACTTATTCTCATCTCAAAAGGAGTTTCCATCCTATGGACCTGTGAAGAGTGGCAATCCTTTTGGAAAAATTGAAATAGAGGGACTAATATGTCCATCATTCGATGCCACAGATAGCTTCTTATGTTGTATAATTTTGCTATTCCTGAAACATCCTTGACTGAAAACACATTCTTTCCAAAAACAAGCATCCTGCAATGGAAGAGGTTTTCCTGATGCCTTCTTTATCGTTGTTTCCAGTGTCCAGTGAAGGAGGACCTTTTATTCACACAGTCCTTTCATTGCTGTTGTAGTTTGTTGCCGTTTAAATGTTTTTAAGAGCTGAGTTGCTGTTCAGTTTTATTTTTCCACTGTTAAAAAGGGAACTTTGTAATGGTACATATTACTCTTTTTGTTGTGTTTTAAATATTGTATTATGTCTTATTATGGTACTTTATTCTTAGTTTTGTTCACAAGCAGTGAACCAATAAATACATTTTTATTATTAAAAACCATGGTTATCAGAGACAATTATACAGAAGGGCTATCTCTACAAAAGACTGATCTATCAAATAATGCAAAAATTTGCAAGTTATTTAATCTGTTTTCATTCTTATATATATCCATTCCTATGCATAATATGATTTATCATACTTGCTTTTTCTCTTACTTTAATGTGTGCACAATGGTTTATTGTATCAGCCTTTTTAAAAAAATCATTGTTAGCTTTACTTTAGTAATGTCCATTTAACATCTGGTGTTTCACATTTGTACTCTGCCTGCACAAGCTGTTGAAAAATAATTTTTGCTCTCCTATTCTTATGTCTTTTTATGTTTTCTGAGTTTTTATTTACTCCTAAGAAACCAGGCCTATATGGCTACTGCCTTGTGGGCTTCTCAATCTGTTAAACCATGTGATTTTTCAAGCTCACACCATTAGCAGAATATGCTCACAATCCGGACATTTTTCAGAACAAGGTCTACTTCTAAAATAGTTGGGTTCACATACATCTGTATGCTAATCTGAGATATAACTGTTTATCCAGACGTCTTTGCAGAGCAGCAAAAGTAATCAGTTATTGAGTATGACTTACAAAATGTGAAGTGGGGGGATTATACTCTCTTACACCCAGGAGCAACTTCTTCTATGCATCATTTTTTCATTTGTATGGAGCCATTTCCTCATACATTCAGGACAGCACAGATAAAGTGAAGATGGCTTATCCCTAAAAGGCCTCACTGATATCCCTGCATGACTTCTTGTACTTTTAATTTTTCCTACCAGGAGAGCTGACCACTTTTGCCCCACTCGACCGTGAGCAGAAGCCAAAATACTGGCTTGTTGCCAAGGCAACAGATGGAGGAGGACGTTTTTGCCAAATGGACATAACCATGGACATTGAGGATGCAAATGACAACGCTCCAAGTTTTTTCCCCAGCCATTGTACAGTGGCCGTCTTTGATAACACCACAGTAAAGACGCCGGTTGCAGTTGTCTTTGCACGAGACCCAGATGAAGGTAAGCGAAAAGGTGGCACTTAGATAAGAAAAGGCATAGCTTGTGGCTGTGACTTATGTCTAATTGTTTTAGTGTGTAGGGGTTTTTTTTTGTTTTTTGTTTTGGGTGTTTTTAGTGTGTTTTTGTGTGATTTGTTTTTTACTGGTATTTTTAGCGTGTTTTGCAAATTCCAACAGCTTACGTAAGAAACATGGCTCAAGGTCAATGGCAGTGTATACGGACCACTGTACAGATATAGCCAAATATGCTCTGAAAAGTAAACGCTACTGAAACGTGAATTTGGAATCTAGTGCATTCCAAATTAAGTTTGCTTACCTCTGCCTAGACAGATTAACAAAAAGAGCCATTTATTCTTTCTGTAGTAGATCAATCTTCTCCTATATTATTTGTATGATTTATTCTTTCATATTTTATATATAAAATACAGAGTTAAAATGTTCACATTTTCTATTGTGAAAATTCTGTCCCAATACAAATTGTATCCTAAATGTTTCTGTATCTTCTTAATATAATCACCTGGGTTGGGGAACATGTGGCTCTCCAGAATTTCTCCCATCATCCATGATCATTGGCCATACTGGCCGGGATTAATGGACGTTCTAGTCGGAAACCCTCTGGATGGTCACTGCTCCCCCCCCCCCCGGTATTAGGCAGTTCATCGGTGGGTTCTGCCTTGTGAGCAAAAATCTGCTTGCACAGTGAGGCCTTCTCCTCTTTTCCCTGCTTGCAGCTACCAGCCACACACTGTAAAATCTACTCTAGAGGGTCCTTTACTGTCCAGAGCAGATTACGGGGGGGGGGGGGTGGCAGGATAATTACCCCCACACCCCTGTCCTGCTCACAAAAGCAGTTCTGACATTAGGAAGACTTAACTGAACACCACCCCTCAGATCTAGGCTATCTGTATCACATTAGAGGTAAATAATGCAAAATGGCTTATGTATCTATCCATTGAAGCCCATTGGTTGTTGAAAACAGCTGCCATTCCTGCTTCTTCTGATAACAACTATACACTCTCGGCCTTATTGTTCCATCAATTCATGGATATAGTCACTCAATTCTTGAAGGCTGAATGTCTGCTATAAATAATTCTGGCCATAGCAAGAGATTTGAAAATAGGTGCAAAATGGATACTTGCAGCACATTTCCTCAAATAAGTTGAACAGAAAGGGACTTGAATTAGAAGATACCTTTATTCTGAGAAAGGCATCTTTGGAGTTAATTACTGTTTCCTCAAATTTGCTGGCTCTGAAAGCATTCCCATCTTGCATGATTCTCCTTTCGCTCTGTTGCACAATCAGCTATTTGTTATTTCTGGTGTTGTATCTCCTACAGCATTTCCAAATCATGTCACATCACCACATGCTGCCTTCATGTAATTTGCTCAAACTCTAAACAGACAAAGCACCTTATCCCTCACTAAGAAAAAGCACAGAGCAACCTGTAGAGTGTTTGTTGTTTAGTCGCAAAATTGTGCTCAACCCATCATGACCCCATGGACAACATTCCTCCAGATTCTCCTTGAGTCCACCCAAGCCCACACCCACTGCCCCAGTGACTCCATCTAGCCACTTCATCCTCTGCCGGCCCCTTCTCCTTTTGCCATCAATCGTTCCCAGTATCAGGATTCAGTGAGTTGTTTCTTCTCCTTAGGTAGCCAAAGTATTTGAGTTTCATCTTCAGTATTTGACCTTCTAAAGAGCAGTCAGGGTTGATTTCCTTTAAGATTGACTGGTTTGATCCCTTTGCAATCCAAGGGGCTCTCAGGAGTCTTCTCCAGCAACCTGTAGAGTAGTTTGTTGCAGATCATTTTTCTCATTTTGATATATAGAATTTAACCCTGAGGTGATCCAAAGTTATTAACAAATGATATTGTGGTGGGTCAGAAATGACTTTGTGACTAAACAAAGTAACAAAACAAAACAAAAAACATCATGTGGAAAAATTCTCTTCCTCCTTTGAGCCTAATTCGCAAGCAGCCATGCATCTTAAAATACTCTTTGCCCCTTTTTGTACCATGACAATAATCCTAACCTGCATGTACTTCTTAAGCTGAACAGAGTAACCTTCCACTCTTGATGGATCTCTATTAAGTAGTAACAAAACACCACCCAGTCATCAAAATCCCCTGGCTTTTGACCCAGATTATATCTTGAGTCTCCAAAGATTGGGTCAGGAACTGAGTTGTCAGGTGCTGGTTTCCCCCTCATTTGCCCCACATATTAAATAACTATTCCCAGATAGAAAGGCCTCTCCTGGAACACTCCCATGTCTTTTTTCCTAGGTCGCAATGCCGAAGTGCTTTATTCTCTCGCCGAGTCGGCAAATGGCCATTTCTCCGTAGAGGAGACAACTGGCGTGATCCGCCTGGAAAAACCATTGAAGGAGTCACAGAGACCTTCGCTGGAGCTGACTGTGCGTGCCACAGATAGGGGGCTGCCACACTCTCTTTCTTCCCTTGCTACTGTGACCGTCTCTGTAGTAGATCTGAAAGAATACCTGCCGGTGTTCCTGGACACAGAATACGTGGTCGTGGTGCAGGAAGACGCCACCGTTGGAACGGAGGTTCTGAATCTGTCTACTTTGACAAGGGATAGTGCTAAGGGCACGGAGATTAAGTATGACATTACGAGTGGAAATGATCAGGGGAAGTTCACGCTCCATTCCAACACAGGTAAGTTGGTCCTTTGGACTGAACAGTCATGGAAGACCTTCATTCATTCATTCATTCATTCATTCATTCATTATTTCGTTGTTATGCCACCCAATAGCCAAAGGCTCTCTGGGCAGTGAACAAAATTTAAAAGTTAAAAACATAAACAAGAAAGGAAGGGACAACATATGAACAAGAAAACTATAAAACCACAGCCATCGCAATCAAATCAGTACAGAGGTACAACAGCAGTATGGAATAAAATGCAGAATTAAAACTAAGATTTAAGAGTTAATTGTTAAAAAACTGGGAAAGAAAAAGTTTTCACCTGGAGCCAAAAAGAATAGAGAGGGGTGTCAGGTGCACCACTTTGAGGAACTTGTTCCATAGTTGGGGATCCACAGCCTAAAGGCACTTCTCTTAGCAGCTGTTCTCTTTACTTCCCTTGGAGAGGCTCCCAAGGAAAGACCTCAGAAGATGACCTGAGGGCTCAGGTAGGTACCTCAGGGGCGAGGCATTCCTTCAGATAACCCAGCCCCAAGACACTGAGGGCTTTGAATGTTAGTGGTAGCACTTTGAATAGGGCCGGACTTCAGCTGGGAGCCAGGGCAACTGAAAGAGGACTGTCGTGATACGTGCTCATGAGCCAGTCCCCGTTTCTCACATCATGGGTACTCTGGGCTTCTGCCTTCATTCATTAAAAGGTGCAGGTAGTTTTCCTTTCCTGTATGTATTCCTTTGATCAGTTCCTCCACAGATCCTATAACAAATCTATTACAGATTTAATATGGATGATTTTATAGCTTTCTAATATTTATTCTGGAAAAACCTAGCACTAAATTTTGAAAAAGCTTGACTGGAAATATTGCTTTAGATGAAATAGTTCTTTTGCCTGTGGCACTTTCTCAGCCCATTCGTCTCCTCAGTTGGTCTGGATCTCTACTTTGAATAGGTCCCTGTGTTCAGAATGTATTATATCCTTGTTTTTCTCTGTATAAATGCAGGCATCCTGTCTGTCAATGGAAGTCTTGATTTTGAAGTTAGCCATGAATATTACTTGTCTATTGAGGGTACCAGAAAGGGCTCTACCTCTCTCAGTGACATAACCATGGTCGTGATCAACATCACAGACATAAATGATCACATGCCAACATTCAGCCAAGATCTCTACACTGCCGACATCCAGGAGAATGCTGCCATTGGTGAACTGGTACTCATGGTAAGACATAGCAAGAGATTCCAGGCACGGACGTATGTGTTTTCTCTGCTATTTTAATGTTGCTGGCCAATTTTAATGTTGCTTTGTGAAGTACACTGCACTGGACAGCATATGTGCTGGTCATTAAGAATGAGGTGGGAACATTCAGCCCTGAATGTTGCAAAATTAGAAAGGTTTTGAGGCCACGTTCCATCTGTGGGCAAGCCAAAGGCCAGAAGTTGCTATTACCATTTTACTGCTCCATCCTTGGAGGCTCAGTCATTTTTCAGCGGTTGGAAATAAGAGCAAAAGAAAGTTGCAGGCATGGTGGAGACTCCCCAGGGACTGCATCTGGCCATGGGCTGGAGATTCCCCATCCCTGCCCTAAAAGGCGGCCCTTTGTCCTGATACAGTTTTGGATGGAATGGCTGGATAGTAAACAGTTTGGAGAAGTAGAAAGGAGTAGGGCAAACAGCAACTTATTTAAGACATTTGCTGATAACCATCTCCAACCATGTTGTAGTCAGATCAGACTACCAGAAAAAGTAAAGGTATAAAAGAGCACCAAAAAATCTAACAGAAAATGTTTAAAAGCAAAAATTATGCCACTAATGGAGTTTCTATTAATAATCAACCCAATCTTTGACCCCTTTTAAACACAAACAAGGTTGAAACAAACATTGGCATCACACAGAGGTAAGAACAACTTCCCCAAACCAGTCTGTCTGCATCTGCTATTTCCAGAAATGGGATTTACTACTAATATACATAATCAGAAAAAGGGGAGTTGTGGTCTTCACAGTGCTAGTATGTAAACAAACCAAATACCCAGGAAAACCTCTGTTTGTCTGGTGGAAGCTGAGCAACAAGAACTGCTCCCCATAATGTGAGTTTCCCACAGCCAGACATTCAAAGCTATCTTGTAACATTCGGCCATATGATTTTCTCTTGTTTTCTAGTATTGTCCCAAGTTGGTTGTATCATGTGCCTTTTTCAGGAGAACCTTTTGGGAAAGTGCATTATGCAGCTGAATTTAAATTTTTACATCTCCCTCCCTCATTCTCCCCACCTCCCTTCCCTCTCCCTCCCCACCATTCCTTCCGTAATAATTATCTGAAACACTTTGTTTTAAAGGCTACTTGTTTTTAGTGCATTTCTTCCAAGTTGCCCAGTATGTAACACTTATGTATAATGACAATGCATCACTTTTTCTCTTGATAGGTTTTAGCTGAAGACAAAGATGGAGTGATGAACAACCAGATCACCTATTCTATTGTAACAGGGAATTCACTGGGCCATTTCGTCATTGACCCCAAAGATGGACAGATCCAGATCGCCAAGCACTTGGACAGGGAAGAGGTGAGTAGCAGAGTCACTGGCAGATTCATTTTTATCAGCCCCCACAGTCCTGGTCATGTAGTGGGCACTGAGACGAAGGAGTCTGAAACTTTACTTACGCCTTATTATTTGGCTTACTGGGTATTGCAGCAATCAAGCCTTCTTAGTAGGTATGTTCTGTTTTCTAGATATCCAGCTACTCTCTTCAAGTCCGAGCCACGGACAATGGACAGACGGCTCTTTTCAGCGATGCCACTGTGCTCATTCGGGTGTCTGATGTCAATGACAACCCTCCTAGGTTCTTCCAACTCAATTACAGTGTGACCGTTCAGGTAAAGCAGCCCATCAAGGCACCAGCCTCGCTTGAATCAGGCTTTTCTAGCAGTAATCGTGACTGTTGCGACGTGAGTCAATAGGTGGCCTAGAAGCTAAGTGCCAACCAAAGCTTAGCAGCAATAAGGAGGCAACTTCGTTCAGTCAAAAGCTGCTGTTTAGTCCTCAATCTCATCTGTACATGCAGATGTTAACTGCAACATCTGCATCTGGTCACTAGATGCCTTGCAATATAAAATCAAATTGACAGGCTTCTCTAATAGTCGGATAAGTGAGAGAAAATAATTATGAAAATCAGGATATTGTCTAATGCCTATTTGTTCTGCACATGCACCTCGTCAAAACACTTTTGTTTTGGAGATTGGCCTTTGTCTCAAGGTGCAGATCTCAACCTAGGTTATCCATTCTTCGTTTGTCCTGTGAGCCAAATTGGTAATTCTGTACCTCGCTAAATTATTGGCCTTTTTCTTTTCTTCAACACTTCAGGAGAGTTCTCCAGTTGGTACCAGTGTCCTGGAGCTGATCATGAGTGACAGAGACTCCTTGGAAAATGGGCCACCATTCTCTTTCCACATCACTGAGGGCAATGAAGGAAAGGCATTTCGGATCAACCAGGATGGAGTGCTGGTGACATCATCCATCCTGAACAGAAGGGCAAGAGAGCACTACCTTTTGCAAATCCAGGTCAATCTCTTTGTCCAACCAAATCATACATTCTGTGAGAGAGCTGATTGGATCCTCTAATGTTCACTTTTTGAAGAAATGCAGCTGTTGTGGGGTGGAGCCGCCATTTTAGTTAGAGCAGCTGTTCTGGCAGAGATGTTTAATGCTTCCATCTGGGACTTCTTTACAAGCAAAATAATACTTCATGGCTCTTGTTTGCCTCATTGGTGAATGCTGGAGGTCCCTCACAGTGCAAGCAACAGCTTGGAAGTGAGGGTTTGAACTGCACAATCATGTCATATATGATCTGAAATAACTTCTCCTCCAGTGTTGCTGTGCTGATGAAATTGGCAAACTCCCTTCAAAGAAAACATTGAGAGATCATCCATTCGCAGATCTCCTGTGCAGCATGTTTTTGCCCCCTCCTTTTTTTCCCCAAAATGCCCAGTGTGGTATGGTCATAATGGTCTCTATGGAAACTGGACTCAGGATGCTTTCAAGTGGCGCTTCTATGCTGTATTCACCCTGGCTTCAGACGGAATTTTACAGGAGTTTCCATAGGTTGCAGAATACCATTTGTTACTCTCCCATGCTTTCCCATTGCTCCTTTCATCTTTTTTTCTTAGGTAAAATCAGCTAAGGAGGAAAAGTCACAAGTGTTGCCCAGGCCTTTTAATCTGCAATGCTAGGAGCCCTCCGTCTGGAAGCACCCTTGTTCTGCAAGACTCTCTGGCTATGGAAGGGATGCAGTAACATTTGTAAACAAAATCATAGTTATAGGTGTCCCAACAGTTGTTTTTGGTATAGCTTTTCTTAGTTTTTGAACAGGCTGGGGTCCAATTCAAATATGGCACTGAGTATTCTCAGAAAAACTTATTTATGTCACAATTCTTTCTGCCCAGTGGCTTATTTAAACCAGGTGGCCTCACTTGTAGTTGTCTTGCTAGCACACCAGGACTCTAAAGTCCTGGCAAAGTTTCCATATAACCTGAAGTGCCTGCTTCTGCCTAATCTTGGAAGCTAAGCAAGGTCAAGGCCTGGTTAGTATTTGGATGGG